CAACAGTTATTCCAGCTGCAAAACGAATAGACCAACAGTTCTAACAAATAATATATAGAATATCTACATAAATAAAACTCGGAGGTAAGGAATACCCTATTTCCAGTAGTCGGAAGAATTTTGTAAAAATATACTGATGTTCACCGAGGTAACTTACCTGAACTTTGAACTGTTTATTCTTAGGCCCTAGACCAAAAACGACAGCAAGAGAGTTACTGCAGTATGAGGGCTCACTTGGAAAGCTTGTAGCTTTAGGGGACCTGATGCAAGCCCTGGGGTCATACAAAACTTTGTTGGGAGAAACTCAAAGTCATCTCTTATAATCCATGTCGCGATAGGAGCATGACATAGCTACCGCGTTGCATGTGCATCAAAAGTTTTATATATCTTACTTCTCCTTAAAATGCATACAAATTATACACCGCACTTCATTTAGCAAGTCGTTCCTCTCTCATGGCTCGCTGCCGACTAGTGGATACGAAGCATTTCATCCTCTAAGCACATCAGAATTACTGTTACGCAGCGACTAGAAAAGTGACATGAATGAGAATCAAATAAACAAATCAGCAAAAATTATACCCAAATTGCTCGAGTAGAGACGCATGGCAAGAAAGGGATTCTCCCAGGGATCAGTCAAGCAGTTCAGCTGCGTTTACTCGGAAATAACGAAATCTGAGATAAAGGCGATCTGCAAGTCTTTACTTTTTATTACTATAGCATGCCCGCTTTGAGTTAGGTAGCCATGATATCTTAGGAGTACGCTTAAGGCAAGCATTAAGGGTCCGCTAGGTTTAATGTTAGTCTTCGGTTAAAGACGAAGTTTAGAGATAAGTATTCCTATCATATAGCGTTTTGTCCAATCCCATCATCTTTAACCAATGCTCTTGAACTTCTTGTTTTTCATCCGTTTGCACGGTAAATATTGCGCGTAAGTTCCAGCACCCCATTGGAGCAATAAAACAAACATACGCCAGAAGTGCGAGTAGCTTAAATGCCTGCCACTGACTCCGTTAACAGTATCG